CCATATGATGATCCTTTAGTGCTAACCATGATGGTAGCCAACTACTAGGTTAAGAAAATTCTGGTCGACAGTGGCAGCTTAGCTAATATTCTGTTTGCACTAGCCTATGACAGCCTCCATCTCGATAGGGAGAGGTTATAACCCGTCAGGACTCTCCTTGTTGGCTTCTCAGGGGAGAGGGTTTGTCCCTTGGGTTCCATCACCCTGCCAATCACAATAGGAATGGCACTGAGAAGTTCCACCATCATAGTAAACTTTATTGTACTTGATTGCCCCTCTACCTACAATATTATTCTTGGATGCCCAGCCCTCAACACCTTAAGGGTAGTACCGTCCACCTACCACCTTATCCTCTATTTTTCGACCACCAGTGGGATTGGAGAGATTAGAGGAGACCAGGTCTCCACCCAGGAAAGCTACATGGCCTATGTGAGAGCCAGGATGCCACACAAGACTCTCTAAGTTTAAGTACTTGAATCGAGGGATGACAACACCTTGGAAAGAAGGGAACCAGTAGAAGAGTTTTGGTTAGTAGTGATGCATGAGAGCCTTCCAAAAAGGAGAATCTATGTAGGCTCTTCACATTCTCAGGAGCAAACATCCGACCTGATAGACTTCTTCAAGTGGAACGTGGATGTCTTTACCTGGTCTCATAAAGACCTGGAGGGCATCGACCCAAAGTGGCCTCCCACCAACTCAACGTCGTTCCCAGGTACAAACCCGTCCACCAAAAGTTGAGGAATATAAGTACTGAGAGAGGCCAAGCCATGGAAAAAGAAGTGGATAAATTACTGAAAAATGGGTTAGTAGGAGAGGTAGCCTACTCAAATTGACTATCCAACGTAGTGATGGTTACAAAGGCCAATGGGAAGTGACGCCTCTGCGTGGACGATATGTTGGTGAACAATATGACCACGACAGACCACGTAACACACCTCCAAGAGACATTCGACATACTGAGAGCTTATAGTATGAACATGAATCCTGAAAAGTGCACCTTCGGTGTTACTATTTGTGGGCTTCATGGTTAACAAAAAGGGCATTGAGACCAACCTAGACAAGATTAGAGCTATCTTGGAGATAAAGTCTCTGACCTCAGTGAAAGAGGTCCAGCGCCTTAATGGAAGGGTAGCAGCCCTTAACAGGTTTGTCTCAAAGTCAGCGGACAGGCGTCTGCCGTTCTTTAAAATCCTCCGTTAATCTTTTTAGTGGGGACCAGATGCAGAGGAGGCCATTCAAAAGTTAAAAGCCTACATCGTTACGCCTCTTTTGCTCTCCCATGCTGTACCAAGAGAGACCTTGTATCTCTACCTCTCTTCCTCGTCCTCTATTGTGAGCTCTGTCCTTGTTAGGGAGGATGGAGGAGTCCAAAATCCTATGTACTATGTAAGCAGGTTAAATTAAGGGGTGGAGATAAGATACTCAGAGCTTGATAAGTTGGCTTTCGCACTTGTTGTTATTACTTTCAAAGCCATACCATCATGATTATTATAGATCAGCCACTCAAGGGAATTTTGGGAAAGCCCGATGTGTCCGACTAACTACTCAAATGGGTCGTTGAGTTAAGTGAGTTAAATGTGCAGTACCAGCCGAAGGCGGCCATCAAAACTCAAGTAGTTGTGAACTTTGTGGCCGAGTCTATAGCATCACATGAATCCCAACACGAAGTATCATATGCCCATGAGCTCACCTGCTCAGTACATAATGTCTCCACTCACCTTGAGGCAAGCCCAAACACTGAGATCTTGCAGACAACCCCTTAGGCTCCCGAAGACCTCACTTCGAGGCCAGAGGCGCCTAACTCTTTTGTACCCACTCCACGGGAGCCCTCTACGCCTCGCTACCATCTACTGCACCATGTTGGAAACTATACATGGATGGGTCCTCAACCAAAGAGGATGGCGGCGTAGGATTAGTGTTGATCAGCCCCATGGCACTCCACTCAAGTATGCAGTGTCCCTCTAATTTGCAACATCAAACAATCAAATTGAATATGAGACCCTCATATCCAACTTGAAGTTCGCGAAGGAGATGGAAGCCCTTTAATTGATGGCTTACAGTGACTTACAGCTGATAGTCAATCAGATAAAGGGAGACTTTGAAGCGAAAGGGAAAAAGATGCAAGAATACCTGTTAATGGTTTGAGCCTTATTGAAAAGGTTTAACCACTTCTAGATCCACCATGTGCCCATAGAGGAGAACATCATGGCAGACACCCTTGCCAAGTTCGCATTTGCCAACATACTTGTTGGCCCAGCACTTACAGGCCACCAATTTGAACCAAGCACCCTTAAGGCAGAGGACGGCGATGTTAATTGTGCATCATCGAAAACCAACTAGATGACTCCCATCTGAGCCTACCTAGAGGAGGGCGCTCTCCCATACAATCTAGTGGAAGGCAAAAAATTGAGAATGAGAGCGTCCAGGTATGTCATCTTGCAAAACACCCTTTATAAGAAGAGTTATTCACTACCACTGCTCCGTTGTCTTACCCCAGAGGAAGTTGATTATGTCATGAGGGAAATCCACGAGGAGATATGTGAAAATCACTCAGGAGGGCATGTGTTGGCCCATAAAGCAGTAAGGCAAGGCTATTATTATCCTAGCATGATTAGAGACACCCGTGAGTTCGTTAGGAAATGCGACAAGTGCCAGCACTTCTCAACTATACCCAGACAGCCACCAAAAGAGCTCACCACCATTAAGAGCCCCTGGCCCTTCTCCATATGGGGGGTCGATATCCTAGGTCCCTTACCTCTGGGTTGAGGCTAGTGTAAGTTTGTAGTGATAGCCATTGACTACTTCACTAAGTGGGTAGAAGCCGAAGCCTTGGTGAGGATAACAGACCAAAAAGTGAAAGACTTCATCTGAAGGAGCATAGTCTACCACTTCGAGATACCCCATGCAATTATAAGCGCTAACGCCAAACAGTTTGAAAATAAACTCCTTAACAGCTTTTGCACTTACCTACAGATCAGGCAGTCCCACTCCAGCCACCATCCATAGGTGAACGGATAGGCGGAGGTCACCGTCAGGACCATCCTCTGCAACCTGAAAAATAGACTAGAGAGTGCGAAGGGGCAATGGGTGGACGAACTTTCGGGAGTGCTGTGGGCCTACCGGACGACATCGAGAAGCCCCATGGGTGAGACCCCTTTTTCCCTAGCCTATAGGATAGAGGCGGTCATAGTTGTTGAGATTGGGGTACACTAACTTAGGGTCCAGCACCATGACCCTACCAGTAATGAAGAAGGCCTCTGTATCAACCTTGACTTGGTAAAAGAGGAGAGGGAGATAGTCATGCATAGCAATGCAGAGTACAAGTTTTGCATGTCCAAGCACTACAACTCGAGGCTGAAGCCTTGCTCCTTGTCAAGGGACCTAGTCCTTAAGAATGTCATCTTTTCTATAAGGACTCTCAAGAGGGGAAGCTAGGACCCTACAAGGTTGTAGAAGTTGTAAGACTAGGCACCTATAGAATTCAGAACTCTTAAGGAAAAGTCCTGATCCATGGAACGCAAAGCACCTGAAGAAATATTACCAATAGTTGGGGGCAAGATAGTGGGTGCACAAATCAGTAGTCTTGAATCCCAACTGTTCCTCAGCGGCCTTTCGTGCTTGCCTCTTCACTGCCTGACCACCTAGTGCCTCTCCAAGCTTCATTGTGCTTGAAAACAAGCAAGGAAAAGCAACAGTCACCTAGAAGCAAGTAGGACATGAGGGAAGGGAAGCAGATACAACATCAAAAATAAGTAAAGGGCATACTAGAGCAAAGCCCTCCATCGTTGTGTCAATGATGCCCTCTGGACCTCGAGAATCGACCTCCTAGATCTCTGCAGCAGTCACAAACCTCCAAAGTTGCTGCTTGGCCAGATTTATATCCTGTAGCATGGATACAGAACCACTACTAGAAGTAGAGCAACTATGTGGAGCCTCGATCCTCATAGGAGACTGCACTAGAGGCTCAATCTCTACAGTCGTACTAGCATGAGCTCTAGATGGCGATGGGGTCATGGTAGGGGAAAGAGTGGGGGCATCACTAAGTCCTGCTCCTCGAGAACCAACTAACCAACAGATTTCAGTTGAGAAGTGCTGGGGGCATCGGACTTCGCCTTCTTAGAGGAAGGAGGGGAAGATGCCACCCTGGAAGCGTAAAGAGCCTCCACTATCGCCCTATCAATAGAGGTACCTGTAGGCTTGGTATGAGACAAAAATCTTACAATGTTGGAACCATGAAAAGTCTATTGGAAAGATCAGATACCTTTCCTCTTCAGCCTATGGGAGACCTTGAGATGACCCGATTCAGACATAATATCTGAAAACTCCTTAAAATGATGGTCACACACTATCTGGAGTCTATTTTCCTCCTCCGCAAATAATGTGGGTGAAGCTAAAAAGGAACCAATCACACATTAAGAACAAGTATGTGACAACTAGATGTAAAAGTAAAAATGAAATTCTTACCTAGCTTAGTCCTCGGAACAGTGTCCCACCTCAAACGCACAAGGTCATGGTCTTTTTCGGTGACCCATTCCCCTCCAACAAAGAAGAACCAAGACTTTCAACTATGACAATTCGAAGGAAGTCCTGTGATGAACTTGCCCAACCTTGGGACAAAACTACACCACCTTTGATGAGGAAAGGGATTATCTAGAAGCACGTATGTAGCCAAAAACTCCTCGAAAGGGGGAGGAACATCAGCACCATGAACCAACCGCCATAATGAGAAGAAAACTAGGATCACTCTCCACCCATTGGGAGCCAGCGATAGGTGTCCCAGAACCCGACAGATGGGTCCGGGTATCGGGAACCTCAAAACTACCTCTAAGGCATCCTCTCATAAAGAACAAGCTCACCCAAGGAGTTACAACACACTGACTCATCCTCCTTTCCCCGACGACACATGACAGCAGAAGGGATACGATATGAAGATACAATATGAGCAATATCCTTATTGCAGTTAATGGAGCTAAAAAGAGAGATTATCTTCGAACTATCACCGCAGCGATCCCCCTGCTTCGCTGAGAACCTTGTGTAGCAACCTTCATCATGTCCTTGTCAGAGTGGGTGCCTACCAACAAATAGAATCGAGACAAAATCAAAGTCAATGTCAAGGGAATACTAGTGTTTGCTGGGCTTTTTGTGGAGTCTAGTTGTGTGTTGATCCGGATGATGGCTCAACCCAAAATAATATTGTGTGACTTTTAATGAAATTTTTTTTGAAACTTAGTCCATAGAGTGAAGGCTTGGGCTGACGCCACTGTTACCGACAGACTTACCTGCACGCTCACTGGCATTGTCCAGAATGCCCATGCCTCCATAGGCGTCCTCTAGCCAGCCAGCGACCCCACCAGGATCAGCGCCCATCTCGAATAAACCAGCTGAGGCTGGGTTGTCATAACCCTACCTCCATCAGCGCCATCATACACCTTTCCACCTCCATTGGCGCTTCCCAGTGTGCAAAGCGCTGCCCAGCATCTCGCTAGCGTCACTCAGCGCCTGGGTTAGCATGCTAAGAAATTCGAGCGGTCAGGTCGTCCTGCCTGTTCCAACGAAACCATCTGCCTCGAGATTGCCTTAAGTCATTGTTCTCCATTCCATTGAAGGATCTTTTCCCATGACAATATCAATGGAAGCCTTCTTCTCCAAATTTCTACTCCTCTCCATTGAAATCTTCAAAATCACAAAGAAGTTCAGCAAAAGAAAGAAAAATAGGGGAGGAGTTTAGATGGTTTCAAAATATTAGCTCCTTGAAACTCCTGAAAATATGCCCTACAAGAAGGGAAAGGGGCTTTTAAATGCGAAAGATCAAAAATCCCCCTGGGCTCTAGACGATGATTATTTAGCGATGAGACAATAAGAGAAATGAGCTTCAAGGAACGTAGAAGTGAAAAATTGTACAAGCACCGCACTGTGGAGAACAAGAAACCTTTTTCAATAAAGAGCTCGCTCATGCCCTCAAAACCTTTGGTTACAATATGGATTTGGGGTATGGGGGGCAAATGATGAGCTCGGATCTAGCTGGGCCCAGCCCAATAAATTAAATGGACTAAGAGTAGTTGAAAGATCCTTCAAGGCCAACCCATGGGTTGGGCCCAATTTATCGATCCAACCCAATTCAAGATCCAAGGCGTCCAAGAAGATTATAGCATGTGGGGAGTGATCATCGGGATACCCACTCTTGAAGATCTAGGCAACCTTTAATTGCACTTATCTATTGCAGTTGTCCTCTCCGAAGGATTAGTGCTTTTACCCTCACATTACCGCTTCAACCAAGGCTCCATATCTATAAATTGTAAGCCTTCTCCACATGGGAGGGACACGTTACTGCACCTCTCTACATCTCTTTGTATTTCTCTACACACCCCTCACACAGCTACTGCTCTCATAGCTACCACACCTCTCCCGGAGCCTGTAAGACACTGTACTAAAATTAAATAAGAATACTAATATCTTAAGATTTTTCCAAATATGAATAAAATGAGGATAAAAACTTAGAATCATTGTTGAAATATTAATCATGAAGTTTGAGTTTCGAACGGATTGACTTTTGGGTCAAACTTAATTTTTTTTTTTTTGGATGTGTTTAAGATTGATAAGGGTAACTAAATAAATATATTAATTTTTTTTATCAAAATAACATTACCATTGAATTCCGGAGGTCGGAAAAAATTGGGAGAGGTAATATGGGATGTATTAGAAGTTAGGAAGTATTTTAGAAGTAAAACCAAATTGGAGTGAAATTGGGTAAAAAGGGGTGATGGACACTACTTAGTAATTTGATCATAACTTTATATTTTGATGTCCAATTGATCTGAAATTTTGACAGGAAGTAGTAGACATCTAGGGCTACAAACGTGTATTTCATGAAAACTTTCCAATTCGACCTCTACATGGGTCAAAACGGACCTGGAAGTCGCACCAAAAATCTGTGAACAGTACGAAGGAAACCCGATTTTTTCTGAACAGAAAATATCGGATTTTGCTCGATTTTCTTGCCCTATAAAAACCTAATGTCGTCCCTTTAGCATTCATTTCACCCCTCCAAACCCTAGGAACCATTTTAGAGGAAGAGAGGAAGATAGAAATACCAATCAAGAGGGATTTATACCTTGTAGAAATCAAAACTTCAAATTCTTCAAGAATACATTCTCCTCCCATTTTCTTCCATTCTTGCTACCCTCTCACCCAAATCTTTTGAAACCCTAGGAGGAGAAGATTAAGAGGAAAAGAAAGGAGAGCAAGAAGGTCTTGAAGCTTGGGTCTTAGTTTGGAATCTTGATTTAAGGTAGGAGATTTTCTCTCAATCTCTCACATTGAGGCTAGATATATATATGTATATAGATATATGTTTCTTCACTCTCCTTCTCATATGTATAATATGAAATACATGATTCTTATTCTATTTGTAATAAATGCCATGTTTTGAACAATATGAAGGGTGGGTAACCACCAAAGCTCTATTGATTTTTTTTTTTTATCTTCAAAACCCTAGTTTTCAAGAAAAATGGATTTTCTCCTAATTTCTTCTTTGTCTTTGATTTTAAAACTTTAGTGTTGAATATTGTATAACAAAATGATATAGATTACGATCTCTTGCATATTTTCTTGGATTATTCGATTATATGACAAATGTGAAAACAAAATTGGGGATTTTACTATATTTGGGAAATTGTTGTGAATTGTGAATATTCTTGATTTCCTCATTATATGGTTGTTGTGATGGACTTGGATTACCTTCGAGAGATGCCGTAGAGTGTTAGAGGTTAGTCTATCCCAATGGGGGGTGAGATGGTTGCCTAATGCTCGTAGTGGATCGTTGTTGTGCTTGCGATCACTATTGTTCACATATACACCGAGGAAAAGGGTTAGTATACTAGACACCTTGGGAGGATTTCGTCAATGCCGTAGGAGACGGTACACGCCCTTCCTAAAGAGATTTGTGATTGTTGGTTGGAATTGGTGGACTAGGCATGATCGTTAGGTAGATTCACGAGAAGCAATCAACATACATGGTACGGGGATGAACCAAAAATACATGGAATCGGGAGTTGGGTCGTTCTTGCCGATGCATTGGTATGGGACAATGCTTAGGGAGAAGCCCTTCTTAAATAGCTTAAATTAGAATTTTGTTTATCGATGCTAAACTCACTTTATTCTTTTAACTGATTATTGCTATTGTTTAAACTTGAGATATCTTTTAAAATGTCACTGTTTTCATTCCAAACCTATATATATGTTAGTTGTGAAATGAGACTGACCGTTTGCTATGTTTTTCAAACCTTGTTTGAGTTGAGAGGATTTTGCTACAGAGTTTCGTGCTCACCCCCTACAAATAATTTTTTTTCAGATTTCACACTTGAGGAGGAGTTAGGAGCCGAGGAGCCCACCCATTGGAAGACTCCGCTTGACGGGGATGTGGATCCCGAGGTGGACGCTTAGAGCGACACTTTTATTTTGTTCTAGACTAGATTATGCTTAGAATATCCTTTTGAACTCTAGTTCATTTCTGTTATTTCCGCTGCGTTATATTATTACATTTTGGAGATGTAAAGGCCAAGATTAGACCTATTAATTTGGGATGATAGTGTGGATATGACATATGATGAATGCAAGTTTATTTTATGATGGAAAAATGGACCCGGTGTGGTCAATAGTTATGCATATGTGGACCCGGTGTGGTCAATTGTAATATAATTGTACAGGTTGTGTTTTGGGTAGAGCTCCCCGTACAAAGGAGACTCTGCCCAAATTTTGTTAAAATATGAATGGTTGATGAATGAAACTTTCATCGTGATAAATTTTGCTTAATGCTCTCATACGGTAAATGGTTTTTAAAATGTAATGTCACCCACGGGGGTTTTTGGGGCGTTACAGAGCCAACCTTTGTTCTTTCTCTCTTACTTTATTAATAAAGGTTCTTCAGTCACTGTTGCAGTTTTTTTGAGTGAAATAGGTCACCCTGACCAAACCACTATATATCTGCGTGTTAACTCAATATTTACCTTTTTGCCATTGATTTCTTTATTAATTGTCTTGTTAAGTACACTATATCACACACTCGACTGTTGATTTTGCACGAGACTATTTTGTACATCATCAATTTTCATTCTCCTTTTGAGAAAATTCATAATTTGTCTTTTTAAACAATTTGTATGGTGTGTGGGAAAATTTTTTTTTTCAAAAATTCCTTATACATCTCTTGCCATGTACCAATTGATCTTGGTCTATGGAATGAAGTCAAGTCTTAGCTTTATCCTTCAGTGAGAAGGGGAAAAGCTTTAAGCTAACTGTAGTATAAGTCACATTCTAGTCATGGTATGTGGCACAGACCTCTTCAAAATCTCAAATATAGAGGTAAGGATTTTCAGAGTCCACGTTATGAAAATTTTGAAGTAATGCAATCATCCCAGGTTTAACAATAAAATTTGTAGCCTGTAAAGTAAAAATTATGCATGAAGGTGCAGTGCCTAGTGCAGGTTGGAAATTATCGCGCAAAATTCTACTATGATTAGCATTCAAATTATCAACATCATTCTCATCATAATTACTCCTTCTATCATCAGGATCAGCAGGATTATTCCTCCTATTACCATCAGCCATCGTGCTAGGTGTGTGAGATTGTCCAGGAGATTGTTTAGGGGAATTAAATAGATCACGAAAAAGTAATTCTAAATCATCCCTATTAAGCATCCGCTCAAACCACGATGCCAAGGACTCATACAAAAATTTAAAAAAAAATGGGGTAAAAGCAGAGAACAATAAATTAAATACTAAAACATAAAAGTGGACCAAAGTTACTAGATTTTTGACAAATCACAAATCAAGCAAACCTCAATTGATATGGCAGTACGTTCTTTGTCTTCCAACAAGATCCCCAACAACGGTGTCAAAAATTTTCTATAACTTAAAAATATGTAAACCCAAGTGTAGGTTACTGCGAATTTATATAATACTTAGAAGTTCGAGGTCAAACCACTGGGAATTGGAAAAACTTAGAACAAAAGAAAATTTCTTTGGAAGATTGTTGTACAGAATTGAAAGATAGTAAAATTAGTTTTAAAACAATATGATCAATACTAAAGCATCAGGGATACCAATTCAATTCCACACATTAATTATTAATAATCTAGCATTCGAACTCAATCAGCTATGGAGTGATTCCAATTGGAATATTTAGTGGTGACAATACGAAAACATCAAAGGTATAGTCAATGTATTAGCTAAATAAATATAAGAATTTACTGGTAAATCACCAACATTCATCGTGTCCGAAGTCTACAAAAAATCAAGCTTTCCAATAGGTACAATTTTACTGCAAATAATAAATTAATTATTTTATGAGAAATTTAAATTAATTAATTCAA